CAATTTTTCATGTGCCTTTTGGCCATTTGTATTTCTTTTTTGAGGAAACTTCTGTTCATTTCTTCTCCCCATTTTTTGATGGGGTTGCAGGTTTCTTCTTGTACAATTTACTAGTGTCTTGTATATCCTGGATATTAATCCCTTGTCAGATGGGTATTGGGTAAATATTCTTTCCCACTCTGTAGGCTCTTTCTGTATTTTGGTCACTGTTTCTTTTGAAGTGCAAAAGTTTCTTAGTTTGATGTAGTCCCACTTGTTTATGTTTGCTTCCACTTGCATGGTCAGTGCTGTTTCTTTCATCCTTAAAGATGTTTTTAGCTTCAATGTCGTGGAGAGTTCTGCCTACATTTTCTTCTATGGACCTTGTGGATTCATGTCTGATATTGAGGTCTTTAATCCATTTTGATCTGACTTTTGTGCCTGGCATTAGACAGAGGTCAGAGTTCATTTTTTGCAGGTAGCTATCCAGTTTTCCCAGCACCACTTGTGGAAGAGGCTTTCCTTGTTCCACTTCACATTTCTTGCTCCTTTGTCAAATATTAAGTGGTCAAATATTTGGGGGGTCTGTGACATATTTCGACTCTGTTCCATTAATCTGCAGGTCTGTTTCTAGCCCAGTACCATGCTGTCTTAATTACTACTGCTTTGTAGTACAGTTTGAAGTTGGGGAGGGTGATGCCACCCATCTTCTTTTTCCCAAGAATTGTTTTAGTTATTCGTGGGGGTTTGTTGTTCCATATGAATTTCAGGAGTGTTTTGTCTATTTCTTTGAAAAATATCTTGGGTATCCTGATAGGATATCCTGATAAGCATCGAATTTGTACAGTGCTTTGGGCAGTATTGCCATTTTTATAATGTTAATTCTCCCTATCCATGAGCAGGGGATGTGTCTCCATTTCCTAGTGTCCTCTTTTATTTCTTGAAGTAGTGTTTTGTAATTTTCCTTGTATAGGTCCTTCACCTCGTTGGTTAAGCTGATTCAGAAGTACTTGATTTTCTGAGGTATTATTGTGAACAGGATTGTTTTTTTAATGTCTATTTCTTCTCTTTCGTTATTTGTATATAAGAAAGCCATGGACTTTTGGGTGTTGATTTTGTAGCCTGCCACTTTACTAAACTGACCTATTGTTTCTAGGAGCTTTTCTGTAGAATCTTTAGGGTTTTCTAAGTGTAGTATCATATCATCTGCAAATAGTGATAGTTTGACCTCTTCCTTTCCTATCTGTATTCCCTTGATATCTCTTCTTGCCTAACTGCAATGGCCAGGACTTCCAGTATTATATTGAAAAGGATTGGTGAAAGTGAGCGATCTTGACTTGTGCCCAATATTAAAGGGAAGGCTTTTAGTTTTTCCCCACTGAAAATGATATTTGCCGTGGGCTTTTAGTAGATGGCTTTGACTATATATTGAGGAAAGTTCCTTCAATGCTTATTTTGCTGAGAGTTTTCATCATAAACAGGTGCTGGATCTTGTCAGATGCTTTCTCTGCATATATTGATATGATCGTATGGTTTTTATCTTTTCTTTTGTTGATATGATGGATTATGTTGATTGATTTCTGAATGTTAAACCATCCTTACATCTCTGTGATGAATCCTACTTGGTTATGGTGTATGATATTTTTTATGGGTCCTTAGATTCTTTTTGCTAATAGTTTGTTGAGGATCTTTGCATCTGTGTTCATCAGGGATATTGGCCTGTAATTCTCTTTCTTTGTGGTATCTCTGTCTGCTTTTGGTATCAGGGTGATATTTGTTTCTTAGAAACTGTTTGGAAGTGTTTTTAATATTTCAATTTTGTGGAAAAGCTTAAAGAGGATTTGGAGTAAGTCCTCTTTAAAGATTTGGAAGGATTCACTAGTGAATCCATCTGGGCCAGGACTTTTGTTTTGGGGGAGACTTTTTATTACCGTTTTAATTTCCTTGATGGTGATAGGTCTATTCAGGTATTCCAGGTCTTCTTGGTTCAGCCTTGGGAAGCTATAGGAATCTAGGAAATTACTCATTTCCTTGAGGTTTTTGTGTTCCGTGGCATAAAGCTTCTCAAAGTACTCCCTGAGGATCCTTTGAATTTCTGTAGTTTCTGTTGTAATGACCCCCTTTTCATTTCTGATTTGGTTTATTAGAGTTTTCTCCCTCCCTTTCTTTGTGAGTTCTGCTAGAGGCTTATCAATCTTGTTTATTTTCTCGAAGAACCAGCTCTTGGTTTCATTGATCTTTTGGATTTTTTTTTGGGTTTCCATCTCCTTAATCTCTGCTCTGAGTTTTATTATTTCCTTTCTCCTGTTCGGGTTGTGCTCATTTTTTTGGTCCTTCTCCAAGCTCTTAAGCTGTGAGGTTAGATTACTTATGTGGATTCGCTCCTCCTTCCTGAGCAATGCTTGAAGAGCTATAAACTTTCCTCTTAATACAGCTTTTGCTGTGTCCCATAAGTTTTGGTAACTTGTGTCCTCATTTTTGTTCTTTTCCAGGAATCTTTTGATTTCCTCTTTGATTTCCTTTCTAAGCCACTTGTTGTCCAATAGTGAACTGTTTAATTTCCAGGTGTTTGATTTAGTTTTCTGTTTGTGTGTGTGACTCAATAAATCTTAAGCTCCCTGCTGGTGGAGCAAAGACAACCCAATGTTATCCAACAACTGCGTTGTAATAGCAAACTTGAACCTAAATGTCACTAAGAATCCGAGATGAAATTGTGACAGTTGATTACTCAGTCTTTTTTAAAAAAAATTTTTATTTAGTTTTTTATGAATCACTGTGAGATAGAGCATTGCAAAATTGTTCATGATTGCTTTTCAGTCCTACAATGTTCTAACACCCATCCTCCACCAGTATAATTTACCAGCATCAGTGTCCCCAGTTTCCCTCCCACCCCTTCAGGTAACCCCCCTCAAAACAATGATTTTGATTATTTATGTCTTTCTTTGTCTTTCTGCCACTGTTTTTTCTCTCTTTCTCTCATCTCTCTCTTCTCTCTCTCTCTCTCTCTCTCTCTCTCTCTCTCTCTCTCTCTCTCTCTCTCTCTCTCTCTGCATTATGGTTTGCCCTTGCTGGAACACCGCTATTCTTTTGGACTTATTTTTTTTAAAAAAGCTCCATTTGCTAAAAAGCAAGCAAGATTTTTTTTTGAAAATAAGAAATGAAAGCATCAAGAGCCACTTAACCTCTGCTGCTCTATTTTTTCTCAACTACATAATAAGTGACTATGCTAGACAATAATTACAGTTGATTTCTCTGCCCTTCTATGTGAATTTAAGAGAGAGAGAGACAGAGAGAGGGGAGAGAGAGATGAGAGAAAGAGAAAAAAACAGTGGCAGAAAGACAAAGAAAGACATAAATAATCAAAATCATTGTTTTCTGCCTTGACTAGGGTGGCTTATAGAACCATGAAAATAATATATTTAAATAAAATAAAGATTCGGTCATACCAGTGAGTAGTGGGTATGCAGACAGACAACACCATTGGTCTGGATCAGGATATTTCTATTCCAATAAAAGGTAATTAATTGAATCTAAAAGTCATTGAATTTTGAAAGTTTAAAAATAGTAATTGTTGTTGGTATTGTGGCACTTGTTTCTGTTCGGAGAGAAGGAGACAGAAAAAGAGAAAGAGAGGTAGAGTGTTTGCCTTGTACGTGGCCAACCTGGGTTCAAACCCCAGCATCCCATAAGTCCCAAGCACCAGCAGGAGTGATTCCTGAGTGAAGAGCCAAGACTAACCCCTGAGCATAGTATGGCCCCCCTAAAACAAAATGAATAAATAATTTTTCAAAGAGAGAAGAAGAGAAAGAAAACTTTCTTACTATGGATTATAGTTCACAATTTTCTATAGCATCCTACAGAATTATTCTTAACAACCCAGTAAATTAGTTTGTCTGATTTATTGTTTTATTTTGTTTGCTTTGTTTGGGGGCCCATACCCAGCAATTCTCAGGGGTTACTCCTATGGTACACTGACTTACTGTACCATAAAAATCAGAGTAGCATATGGGATGCGAGATAGGCCGCATACAAGGCAAATACCCTATCCATTGTACTTTCTCTCCACCCCCTAGTTTGCTCTTTAATCATTAAACTTAGCTTTCATTTAAGTAATATTTTTAAGAGGTTTAGTTTGGAGATTATAGAGGTTACTCCTTACTCCTTGTTCAGAGGTCACCACTGACGATGCTCTGGAATTTAGGCCAGAGATACAGTACAGGGTTAAAAATACATGATAGGCAAGCTCCACGAAGTCCACACTATTTCTCTGACTTAAATCAGATTTTTCAAGTTAGTAGAATAATTCTCTTTCAATTAATCTGCTCATTCAGGCTGTGTGCAATTTGTTCTGATAAGATTTTATCTAAAGGAAGACTGTAAAAGCCTGGGGTCATAGTGATAGCACCGTGGGTAGAACACTTGCTTGCATGCCACTGACTGGGGTTAGATGCCTGGTTCCCATATGGTTCCCCAAATACCACCAGGAATGATTCCTGAGAACAGAGCCAGAAGTAACCTCAGCATCACCAGGTGTGGCCCCAAGACAAAATAAAAAGAACCTAAAGGACTTCAGTAAAGCGCTTCATCCTTTCTCTTGTTTGAGATGGGGGAGAAGAGTTGAGGCCACAACTTGCTGTGCTCAGGATGTGCTCCTGTCTCTGTGCTCAGGAATCACGCCTGGTGGTGCTTGGGCATTCATATATGGAGCCAGGGACTGATGTAAGGGTTGGCTGATGTAAGATAGTGCCTAAACCCCTGTCCTATCACTCTTCCCAAGCCTTATCCCTTCCTCTCCTCATACTTTTCTGGGATCTAATAGAAGCTTCTCATTGCCATTTTTTGGCTATTGTGGCCACAGGACCATGACATGTGCCTTTTACAGCATCTTTGATGCCAAGAAGACCCAGTTCCTTCGTGTAAGTCCCAAAATATCCCTCCAACACTACCAGACCCACCACCATCGGCTTCAGTCTCTCTCCACTGAAACTCACTCCGGCTTTCTTCTATTCTTGTCCCATTAGCTCTTCACATTTGGATGGAGAGAAGATGTTCGACCTGGTGAGCCACTGCACACGCGGAAATTCTGCTTCGATGCCATCTCACACAATAGCCCGGTCACTCTCTACGACTGCCATGGCATGAAGGGCAACCAGTTCTGGGGGTACAGGAAGGTAAGATTCACACAGAGGACTTGGGCAGACTGCAGCCACCCCCAAGGTTTTTAACTCAATTTGTTTTTCTAAATCCACAGTTTGGGTTTGAATGGTTACCCAGACAGCTATAAATGCTCTTGGGGCACACAGCAGGTTAAGTGAGAGATGAAGACTTGCTTTGCTTATTACGTGTATGACTGTCTCAATAAGTCATGATGGAAAGTGGCTTGGAGCCAGACACCAACAGTGCAAGGGAAAGATCTAATACTAACTTAGACAACTCCCGGAAAAAGGGCTACAATTCAGGAAACAAACATAAACATGTAGTAGTAAGTGTAAGAATCTCAATTCATTCATGCACACACAAACACACCACACACATTATCATATCTATTATTTATTTTAGACTCAGGCTAAGGGAACTGTCTGGGTTATGGCAATTATATTTACATAAATATTCACAAACATCCTTGTAGATGTCATTGCTACAATCCTTATACAGGAAGTGATCCATTTGTAAGATGGCCAAAATTTTACCCAACGGTAAATTTATTGGGGGCATATAAAAGTTTAAATAACTATAAAGTTAATGTCTGGGGATGGAAAAAATAGCTCAAACACTTTATTGCATTGATAAAATAAAAACAATTATCTTAAAATATTTTTATTAAGTTGTCTTTTTATTTTTGTTTTGTTTGGGGGTTAAACCCCGCTGTGCGAGTGTTATGGCCAGGAATAAGTCAGGGTTTATTCCTGACTCTGCATTTAGGGATCTCTCTCAGCAGTGCTTAGGGGATTAAGTGTGATCTGGGGATTGAACCTGGCTTAGTAACCTGCAAGGCAAATATCCTACCCACTGTGCTATCACTCTGGCCCCTAAGTTGTCTTTTAGAACTGCTTAGAATACCAGGCTTTTTTCTTTCTTTTTTCTTTATTAAGGCAGGTCTTGCCTGTAAGTTATCAATATTCCAGAAACTCTCCATTCTGCCCCTCCAGGCCATAGAACCAGCCAGACAGAAGATACCCTTTTTTCTTCTTTCTATGCTCTGGCATCATCAGCTGAGTGGTCAGCTATCCAGAACATGTCATCCTCATCCCTTTCATCATGAACTTGACTAGCCTGAGGCAGAAGCCACATCAGTATCCCCAAAATTACAGAAAGCTGAAGGGAATATTCGTTCCAGAGAATCAGTATGGCAGGGATACTGATTTGTGTCCCTGTTCCCCCCGCTTAATAAGTGCTCTGTGTGTGTGAGTGAGTGAGTGAGTGTGTGTGTGTGTGTGTGTGTGTGTGTGTGTGTGTGTTTTGGGAGGAGGGAACCTAAATTACATCGAAGTGAGACTGGTTGGTATACAAGTTTTATCCTGCACACTTCCACCCACACCACATCTGACCTATTGTAACTGCATCCAGATAAAAGTTCAAGGTCCCATTGTTCTACAAAGCAACCATTGAAAATCTAAGGAACTGATAAAAATGATGGCATTGGAAATAATATCAGAGAACAAGGAAATCACTGCTCTAGGGAAACGTCACTCTTTTCCTTGTGAAACTCATAACAAACAATTAATCCTGTCAAACGCTTTCACTAGTAAAGATGACAGAGTTTGCACGCGTGTAGCACAATGAACAAGCCTTTTGTTTTGGCTTTTAAGGTTAGATTCTGACCTTTACGATGTATTCTCTGGGCACGTCAATAAAACCTCTGATTTGCCATTTTCCTGGAAGGCTGGTGGTCCCTCATGACCAGACCATTTCTCATTACTGTACACGTATAGCATGAGAGACAGAACAGTCAATAATGTGCAATTAAGCCAAGAAAATACACTTGTTTTCATTAGGAGATTATAAGAGCTTACAGATGGATAAGACCAACTAATACACGTACACGTGGAGCTCCTGGGGAAAAGAACTTGTGTGGTGGTTTCCAGAGGTAACTCACACTTTAAACCTGGATCCCCGGGGACTTATGAAACAAAACCACTCAATGTGACCAAGTGTGGCCCTTTCCTCAGATTTCTTTGTAGCTGTTGTCATTGCATTACTTAACTAAAGGTGCTTGGACTTTTATTATACAACTGCAGGTTACATTCCTTGGGTATGTATATAACCAGCGGGGTATTTCTACATAACCAGAAATGTGCCAAAGACTCAGAACAGAAAATTGCTGAACTATCCATCTTGCGGGGGACTTAAGCCTGTTCACTTATTGTTTTAGAAAGTTCTATTTGTTTCCAAAGCTATGACCAAAGCATAAAGAAACAGAACACAGGCAAAAATCTCTCTGGGGGTTGTAGCCTTGTCTATCTGGAGACACTGATTGACCATGGAGAGAGCCCTCTTTTATTAACAAATTCACAAATAAAGAATTTAGTCCTGAAACTCTTTTTTTTCCAGCCCTGAGACTCTAATCGGAAGTTTGTACCTTTTGACCATTACCTATTCTCTAAACTTTAGTTATTTTTAGATGTGCTCTTTGTCACCATATAAAAAGAAGGGAGTCCTTATTCCATGGTCTTGTGACTAGTTGCTCACAATAGCAGAAACCGCATGCAAGGAATTGCAGACTTGGTTTTCTTTGACCACCAGGGGGACCCCGTTACAAGAATAATGAATAGTGGAAGCGACCTCAGTAAAAATTGTTGAATCCTCACTCCATTCACGTCAGAGACAAGAAATTGCCTTCCTCTTTTTTCTCCTCTACATTTAACTGACCACTAAGACACATTGGCTCCCTCTCCCTGTCAATTTCTCTAAAGTTCATCCTCTCTTCGCCTCTAAATCCATCCCACCTTCCTCCTAGATTATCCCATAACTTTACATACCAGTCACCTACCAACCAGCTTCCTCCTTCCTCCTGTCATCTTTCACAGTCTGGTCTTATAATGGCTACCTATAGGTTCATACGTGTCCTAATTCATCCTGAAACCGAAAAGGGGTCTTGAATAAGTTACTTTACCTTTATAGGTTTCAATTTTCTTATCAGTCTGATCAATCTGATAGGGATAATAATTGAAATAAACTACATAAAATTTCCAACACAATTCCTGACAATAGTACTTCATTTATGTCTGTGTGGGTAACAGATCCCTTTTTCACATTGAACATAATGATAGGGGAATATCACTATGTCATTACAGTATACTATATCACTGACTATAAGCTATCTTATTCAATCTAATTGTTATACCTAATTATTAAACCAATCTATCCTAATTAGCCTATGATAGTATATGAGGAATATTAACTATTGTTAGCTCAAGGATATCTTTTCTTTTTAAGTTAAGAGCTATCTCCAGGTATTTTTTTAAGTAAATCATTTTCTTGGCATGTAATGCATCTTAATTTGGGTTTCCCCATATATATATGTATATATATGTATATATACATATATGTATATATGTATATATATAAATTCTGAAGACAAAATTTGTGTGGAACAGGTGGGTTATGGCCCTAAAACAATCTTGATTGGGATGGGAAAGTATTGGAAACCCATAATGGGTTACTCTAAAGCAAGTAAAATGGTGGGCAAGACCGCCACTAAGGACTCGAAATCAAAGAACACTCTTCAGAAAGCAAGGGAGGAAGAATATTGATTTATATACCACTCCAGTCAATCTTCCATTTGCATCCTACTGAGGTGAGTTTATTCTCTGATGCCTCTGGGTTGTTTCATTTACAGACAGTAGCATTCTTGAGGCTAGAGAAAGCCTTTGGAAGAAAGACAGATTGCCTGGGAGCTGTAATTTGGACTTATGAGCACCAAAAATAGTGTGACCTGAGACCTACTGGCGTGGTCCAGGAGAATCCATTTGTTCCACCTCCTTGGCGCTGTTATTACCCTTCCCCTTCATGCCATTCTACAGTTACAGAGTGAGATCATGTGTGTTGACCATTTTGGACGTCTTTGTAAATGACTTGTTCAAGTCATAGAATCAGTTAACATTATTTGTCTTTGGGAGTTGTTTTTTCATATCTATGTGTAAGTGCTTTGTTGAATCTATGTTTATAAGTATCTTACTCCAATGTCTTGGCCTTTCTGTTTGATGGGCTGCCTGGCTAAAGAGCTAATCTTAGGATTAATGTGTTTATGTGTCCTGTTTAGAAAATCTTTGTTCACACTTAAGCTAAGCTGGTAAACTTTTAAGTTTCTGTGGGAAGCAATTCTATTTAATCTTCTACATTTTTGGTACATAAATCCTTGAAATATTTTCAAGATGGTTATACCTATCACTGCTTAGCGATTACTCCCAACAGAGCTCAGGAAACCAATGGGATACCAAGCATGGAATCCAGGACCATGATATGTAAATCACGTACTTCTCCCCTTTGAGCTATTCCCTGGCTCAAATACTTGAAATACTTCTCATATAATGCTTTTATATGTGTATATATGATTTGTTTTATTTTTCTTATATCTAATTAATTCATCACCAATTATTTAAAAGAACCTTTTTTCCACTATAGTCAAATGACACTTTCATCTAAGTTAAAGTACCTTAAATACATGAGTCTATTTATAAATTTTCAAATTTCTTTCCATTAGACTATTTTTAATAAAAAATAAATTAACCTAATTTAATAAAAGATATATCCAAAACCCACAACAGAGCTCACTGTAAGTGTGAAGTGTTAAAGCTTTCCTTCAGAGACTGAGAATAAAATGGGATATCTTTGATTATCACTTCTATTCAGCACAGTGTAGGCTAATCTACCCAGAGTAATTAAGCAAAATAGGGAAATTAAAAGGTATAAGAATTAAAATAAAAAGAAGCAGTTTATTCATACATGGCATAATTGGGTTTATAAAAATACAGAAGATTACACATCTAAAATATTAAAATAAGTAAATTTAGAATAATTCTTAGATATAAAGTAAACATAAGAATATCAAATGTTTACAAAACCAACCAAAAATAAGGAAGGGCGTTGCAGAGAGATAGTATACTTAGTAAGGCACTTTCCTTGCATGCTGCCATTCCCAATTCTATCTCCAATTCCCCATATAGTACCC